TGCCAGTATAGCAATATTGATTCCTGGCCCATTTTTCTCTGACATATTGAAGGAAATCTTTGCAATTCTATCTTTCACCCACACAGTTGGTGATGGAAAGTTGGAGAAATGAACATGTCAAGGACTTCAGATCTGAACAGAAATGTAAAATAATGAAAAATCCCCAAAAGGAAAGAAAAGAAACTAGAACTAGTAGAAAAAAATATTATAGATTTGAAGATAAATAGAAGAAAAGAAGGTTTACAAATTAAGGAAATTGAAACACTGCTGTAGCTGTAATATTGCTTTATTCATTTTAGTATTACCTTACCTTCCAAACCCTGAGTTTCAGTTTCTTCTATAGCCTTGTCTGTCTTATTCAATCTTCAGAATTTCTTCCTTTGTACTTGATTGTATCACAGCTATCCAAATGAAGTTATGTGCCTGGACTGAGATTCCTACGGGAGTACCTTAGTAATACAGAATAGTAATAGAGTTGAAAACTGAGAAGAAAGACTGAAAAGGAGAAATAAAAAAATTAAAAGAAGGTTGAAGAAAGAAGGTCCCACCTTCTACTTAGGCTCCTTAAGCACACACACACCTCCCCCTGCCATAAATTTGTAGGAGAAATAAAAAGATTACATACAAGCCATTTTCACTATTCTTTACAGACATCTTTTTCCATTGAAAGACCTTGTCTTCTTTTACCTCAGTAACTATGCTTTCCCATTAATTTTTTAAAGAGGCATAGCTCTGTAAAACCCAGTGCATTTGTTGTAAACAAGAACTCAGCTGTGACAGGCAAGCCAGATTATATATCTAAAGTGTAATTACTGTATTGGTAGCCTGTGTAATGATACCTGCTGCATTCAGCATTTCCACAGGAGTTGTTGTTTATTGAAGCATATATTATGCTTCCAAGGCCTTACATTAGGTCTTACATTCTACTACAGATCACACTGTAATTTCAGATTAGTTTGAGTTAGGAAAGGTACCAGGAATTTCCTACCTACCTCACTGAGTAGTAATTCAGTACTTTACTGTCTATCATATTATGTTAAAGAAGGTTCTGTGTTAATATGTTTTCAGAATTAATGGAAAACACACTTTTCAGAAATGGAATATGCTTAATGCACATGTACATTTGACTTCTCTAAGAACTGTGTCAATAGCCTGGTAACCAGGGAGTAGCTGACACAGACAAATTTCTTACCTTCTGCTTGATTGAAGATCTGTTATGGTTCACATATTCCTAGCAACATTTCCCGATACTTTTAAATTCAAATGCAGTATTCTCCTCTGACTACTCATACTTTACTAACAAACTCAGCATTAAAAAAGAGGAAAAACCTGCGGATCTCCAAGTTCTGTACCTGGCTCTCCAGGAAATGCAGTGTTTCCTCAAATGACTGGATCATGCTACCTCAGCAACCCTTTAAAAATCTTTGACTTTCTATTAGTAATACTTTCTTTTCATTATAAATATGCTGTTTAGTAAATCGAAGGCACTATGTTGCATTATATGAAATTATTTTCTCAGGCTAATTAAGCAGGGGTGCTGCCATTCACAGAGAAAGTTTATTTTCTTGAACTAAATAACAGAACCTGTAAATTCCCTCTGATTTTCTTAAATCAAAAGAGCATAAGACAGTTCCCAGGTCTGGAGTACAAAAGCAAGTACAAGAGGGCTCAGTTCCCAACCTACTTCTCATCTTCAACAATACAAAACCATAATACTGCAACAGTAGTTCCTCTGATTTATATGAGAGGCAGGACTGAGCCTCTGGATATAACACAAACCCCATGTAAAACTCAATTGAATGAGACAGTTTTCATCCAGCCAGGATGCAAATGAAACCCAGGGTTGTGCACTGAGGAATGTATAAGTCAGTGAGAGAATGAAAAGCTGTGATTTGTATGGCTTGTTGTGCGGCAAGTGGCAACCCCTGTGTTCACTGGTGTGGTGGCCGTGGATGGTCATCAGCAAACACTGCAGGGGCTGGAAGTGGTATTGCAGTCCCTGTGCCATGTGTCTCCTGTGGGCTGGAGTGGGTGGGATTGCAGCAGGCAGAGTAGATCAGATTCAGCTCTTGCTGACAGAAGAATTGCCAATCTAATCGCCTTTTTTTCCCTCTGTCTCCAAGAAAGTACCTTAGGCAGAGTTACTCCCACTTTGTCCCACAGCTGTGCAGATTAAATTATGAGCATTTGTGGAGGAAGAACACTGAGTCCATTTGTCTTCAATAGGGTCCCCCTGGTGTAACTGCTGACAGAATTTGGTTGGATGAAGGCAATTCAGGGAAGAAAACAAATCAGGGGAAAATGGCCAGCCCCTAGGGACGGCAGCATTACACGAACACAATGAGCACATGCACAACAGTGCACAGGGCATTGTTGTTTCCAGTTTAGATTAGCCAGTGGCAGCTTGACTTTGGGTAGGTTCACTGCATGCTTTAGAGAGCCATAAAAAGGATGTAAGCCATTTTATGGGGGGTCACAATCCCTTCTGATGTAGCCATATGTTCACTGGTTGAAACTTCTCACTCCATTCACTCCACTGGTGAAAATCTTCTTATCTTAAGAGGCATCTAAAACAACAGTTTTGTCCTGAGTTAACTTACTACCAGCAGCTTTGAAGGAGTTAATATTTGTAAAAACTAGTCTGGACCCTTTGTAATGATTTGTTCCTAAATACAAATATTTCTGGTTGACCTTGGGCTAGAGCACAAGATACTGTGAGCCAGCCTTATATATGCCACTTTTCCTAACAGTCTTTGTCTCACAATCCTTTTAAGCTGGTAAGCAACAGTTAACACTATTATAAACCATTATAAACATAAACCACTGTGGTGCAATGAAGACGATGGTGTTATAGCCTAGATTTCCCTTCAACTCTTTTCCTCACTGCCAGGACCTAAACTCGTGCCCATCATAAACAGCTGCCAATAAGTTTTTCTGCATCAGGAAGATAGAAGTGACCTCTCTCCTTTTCCAGATGATTGAATCAGGGTATGTTTTAAAATGAAGTTGCTAAAACCTGCCAAAAAAACCCAAGTCAGCCCTCCATGTAAAAGAATGATTTCAGCTCAGGGGAGTTGCTGTGTTTTAGAGGAAGCACGTGAAAAATCGCTTTGTAAAGGAAGACGCTCCTTCAGACAGCTTAGTGCTCAGACACTGCTTATGTGAAAAGAAACCATGATGCATCAAATACAAAAATAAATGCAGTTCCTAAGTCTTGTGGTATTTCTTGATGTGGATAAAATAGAGAAGATGCCTGAGTCTGCAGAACACTGGGAGGAGAGAACTGGCATTTCTAAATGTGCTGCCCCCAAGGGAGTGGGTCGGTTGTTTAGAAAAGAGCAATGCAAGATCATGCTGATGTAAGGAGCTCTAAGTTATGATAATGCAGGTTGCAGCTTGACAGGCTTGATAAGAAGCCAAGACAGTACGTTCCTGCCCTCCCTACCAGGCAGAGCAGGACCATGGGACATATCCAGCCCCAGAACAGTGACTGAGAACAGGGTCACCAGTGCCACCAGATGTTTCAACATAGGCAATGAGGCTACCATTTCCCCCCTCTGCCACTCCAGATGTCACAGTGTGTTATAGAAAGGTATGTGTCCTTGCTGCCCAAAGAGCTGCCACTCACCTTCCTGGGCAATTTCCAGCATCTTGCATTCTTGTCTGTGATGACAAGGTTGTGTAACCGTCTGATTGGCTGCTGTGCTGCAGTATCATTTCCAGAAGTCAGTAATAATATTTCTGCAGAATCTTTCAAATTTTATGCTGAAATCTCCAAATGACCCACTAAGATGACCTTTTTTGTTTTCAGGAAGTATTCTGTTCACATTCTTCTATTTGAACAACTCTGAGGAACTCGCTTTCCACTCAGTGCATGACTTTTTCACAACTTTCTGTAACTAAATGCTGTTGCGTGCAAGTCATTACTTTTGATCTTAATATACTGCTGGTTAATTATCTTTTTGAAAAGGATGTGTAGCATAAATGCAGACTGCTGTGCACAACACTGAAGGGTTGTTGTAATACCTGGACAAGCCATAATCTGCAGTGAGTAAAACTTCTGTGATTAATGAGAGAGAAATGTGATAAAATTTAATTTAGTAATGCAATTATACACCATAACTTGTAATAAAAAGAATCCTTTCTGCACAGCAATAGTATCTTAAGGGAATACCAGTAAACAAAATCAGAGAGAAATGTATTCTTAGGATCCCCACTCTCCTTAGCCTTCACAACTGAGGACTCCTGTAAGACTGAAAAATTACCAGGAACACAACAGTATGGTAAGTATTTATGTTGACTTCAAAACAAGAGGTTGTCAAATTCTTTTCCTTAAAACATGTAATAAACTCTAAAAAACCCCCACCAAAAATAAAGCTCCTCCAAAGAAGAGAGGAGAATTTCCTTCAATATTCGTGCACAATTTTTTTCAAGGTAATATTGATTAGGAAAAAAAAAATTGCCGAAAGAGTTACATAGCAGATTTTTTTTAACAAATCCTGCAGTTGGTTATGATGAAATTGATGGTTTAGAGGACTTTTTTTTCGTGAAAAGTTTGGCAAAAGTACAGAAAATACTTTTCTTTGTGTCGAAATTTGTAACAAAGGAATAAACCTCCATGTTCATCTTTGGCAATTTTCAAAATGATACCAGTGGAACAGACAAAATGTTTAATCCTGGAAGGCTGATGCAGTTGTGCTTTGGAGCTGACCTGGCTTCCCATTGCTCTCTGCCTTTAACTTGGGCAGAACTGAGCCCTGACACAGACAACTACTTTCGGTCATAATACTGAAAACAAATGACTTCCCTCTGCAGCGTGCGGGGGACACTCCGCATCTCAGGCTGCACCCCCCCAAATGAAGCCGCGTGTGTGCCACTTCAGCAGGCGGGCTGTAGGAATCAATGGCAGATCAATCCCTTGTCACTGCCCGCGCAGTCCCGGCCCCGCCGCCGCACAAAAGCGGGAAGGTGGGAGCCCCGCATCCCAGAGCGTGGGGACCGGCGGCGGCGGCAGGAGCTGCTTCGCGGTGCCGCAGCCCCGGGAGCGGCGAGGCCACCCCCAGCCCGGTCCGCCCCGGCACCATCGCCCCTCCGGACGGGCTGCCCCTCTCCCGAGCCTTCCTCCGAGCCCTGGGAAGGCGGAGAACTGCCCGGGGGTGCCTGGTAGGTGGCTACGGGAGAGAGCGGCTCGGCCAGGTCCCCACGCGTGCTCGGGGAACGGGATGCGGGTGGGTGCGGGACTCCCCAGACAGGGACCCACTGAGCAGAACCTCCCCGGGCGCGGAAGGGGGACTCTTCGGGTGCCGTGCGAGACGCCGCGGATGAGGTGCGGGACTGACAGGCAAAGTGCAGGGACTCTTCGGGAGAACAGAAGGGAATCTTGGGGGTAGGATCCCCCGCAGCCATAGAATAGGATCCCTCGGGCGCGGAGCGGGACTTCTGGGGAGCACTGACCCTCCCGGGCATGAGAAGTACGGGACCCGCGGGAGCGGAGCCAAGGCCCCTGGAGGCAAAGGCGACACCTCTCAGGCACACTGTGGGACCCGCTGGAGGCAAGGCGACACTTCTCACGGACGGTGCGGAACCACTGGGTGCGGAGCAGGTCTCCCCGAGGGCGCTGCGGGACCCCGGGGGCGGAGGCAGCGCAAACCCTCCGCGACCGTGCCGGGACGGGACCGCGGCGTGGGGCAGGGGGATGCCCGGAGGCGGGGTGGGGACTCGCCTGAGCCCGCCCGCCGCTGCCTGCGTTCCCCTCCCACCTCTGGCGGCCCCGCGGAGCCGGGCGGAGCGCGGCCGGGAGCGGCTCCAGGTAGGCAGCGCCCGCCCTCCCGCCCGCTGGGGCGGCCCCCGGGGTAGCGTCTTCGCGGCTCAGAGGGGAGAGCCTGGCGAGCCCGGCCCGGTGTGTTCTCCGTGTGTTTGCGGGGTAAACAGTCGGGGGAGGAGGAGGAGGAGGAAGAGGAGGAGGAGGGGTGCAGGGGTCGCCGCCTGGTGCAGGGGTCGCCTTGGTGCGGGGCTTCGCTGCTCTGCCGGAGTCTTGCCCTGAACTCTCTGGCTCGGGACGTCCAGCCCCTCTCCGGCTCCCCGAGGGCGGCGGCGGGGGCAGGGGCACCGCTCCGGCCCTCGGAGGGACCGTGTCCTGCCGACTTCTCCTCGGGTGCTTTGTGGCGGCCAGTGCGGGAGCGGGTCGATAGCCATGCCTCTGAGCCCTTTCGCATTGCAGAGCTCTGCCTTGTCTTTTAGAAACTCGTTTAGATTAAAAAGTAAACTAGTTTTAAGCAGCCGCGAACGACTACAGTAGCCTCTCTGGGTAAAGAAGTGTGGGAGAAGTTTGTTCTCTCTGCGTGTCCGATCTAAAGTAGACTTAATAAGTTGGGGATGGTTAACCTGAGTTTAGATCCAGGTGGATTTTGAAGGAGCTTTCTCTTTTTATAAAAAGACTTTTCTTATGTGCATCTGTAGGACAGTGAATTTCCTCACTGCTCATTTTCTGGATTTTCTTGCCTGCGAGGTAGTCCTATGTCAATAATTTTTCATTTGCCTGATGCAAAGCACAACTGCTGATTATTCTGGGAGCTGAACTCAATGTTTGCTGGGGAAGGTAGACCTCAAGATCTGAGCAGCAGCAGTGTATTGATTCCATTAACAGAATTTACAGATTCCTTTTAACATAGTCTCTTTCCCAGAATTAAAGTTCTCCTCAAAGCATCTGTCGCTGGTCTAGGCCAATAGATGGCATAAGGCACTCAGGCTAACGTCCTAAGGGGACAGGGGGAGCAAGAATACACTTTGTACGGAAGCCAGGGTTTTCAGAGGGGATGTGTGAGTTAGATTCTGCGTGTCTGACTTGGGATACCTAGGTGAGATCTCATTTTCAGATATATGTCCTGGACCACTCATTTTCTTTGGTCACAGTTGCAGCATTTTCCAAAATCCTTCTCTGCTCTAATCAGTTAGGGTTATGTCACGCAGTTTTTGTAGGACTTGTTCACTGTTGATATCCTAAGCCAGGAATCAGAGGTGGCTTTTCAACTTTGCAAGGTGTATTTAATATCCGCTACTGGGGAGAAGCTGCCCATTGTAACAGTATTGAAACCGGTAATCATGAGGGAGAATAAAAGGCAATTGGCTAATAAGGAAAAACCTTCTTAGTTTCTGTATCAAAATTTCTGCTGAGATAGCACTGTGGGTAGACAAAAATGATTTTATGTTCTGAAATTTTGTAAATTATTTGAGTATAGGTAGGTAGCTAAATGATGATAAAAGAGCTTTAACTGACAGTAATCATACATAGCTTTTATATGGGTGCTTCTTAGGTATCGATTTCAAAACAGTTCTTTTTAAAAAGAGGTGCAGTATCATTATATCTTTTTTTTTTTTTTTCAATTTCAGCAATTGAAGAGTGGGAAAGGTCCAGAAATAAGACCAGATTTATTAAGTCACAGTTCTGAATTTGTCTATTAAATCTCTTTATACAGTCCGGACAGATTTGTTTAAGTGGATCTTAAATTAAAAAAAAAATCTATAGGTATATATAGCAAAGGACACTAAAGGTCTTTTTCTTTCTTTTTTCTTCTCTTTCCTTCTTTCTTATCTATAAATGTCTATGTCTTGTTTTCAGCCTCAGCACTAAGGCAACCCACAGAAAGTATAGCAGCCCTTCAACTTCCTATTTGTGAGTGTGGGCAAAAGAAAATCAATGAACAGTGGCTGTCTGCTGAGCTGATGCAAACTCCAGTGTGATCCCAAAGCATTATTCCTGGGACAGGTGGGGTTGAATTTTTTACTACAATTTCCTTTGTAGAAACAGAGATGTCCCTTAGGAGAGGTAATTCTTTGCTCACCCTCTCTAGGACTTAGCAAATTTCAAGGAGCAAGAAGCATAAAATTACCTTAAACCTGAAAAGATGATAACTCGGTATTAAGCCACCAGCATCGCCTTCATTGTGCAATTACAGCTGCAGGCAGGGTGCAGTCAACTATTAATACTCAGTGCCAAGACCATTCAGCCTCAATGCAAAACAGGGTTCAACAGTGACTGACTTGAGCTGCAGAGGCATCTTAAACCTGTTTGGAGAGTGGAGACAGCCGGGCTTTCCCCGCTCGGCATTGGTGCATCTGCCAGTGGTGAGCTCTTTGTTCTGGCCGAGCCCCTGATGAAGCTGGTGCTGGACACAGTGCCTGCCTCTGTGCTGGGATCACTGCCAGGGGCCACTGCCACGGCTCCTGTGGCTGCCTGCTGTTTGCATCCTTTTCCCTGCCAGCTGGGCAAGCTGAACCCACATACTCTCAGGTGAAATAAGTGCTGGTTAACAAGGAGGGCATGTGAAGGGCAGATGCTCTGCAGAGTCTGATGTGAGTTGGGGTCAGAGGGAGAAGCAGATAGTATCCTGTTTGGCAAGACCCTTACCAGCAGGCTAAGCTTCAGCTTGGTTACTTGAAAACAGCTTATGGCCATGCTTTCTGTCTTTTCTCATGGAATCCTTCTCCATCTCGGCCCATTTGTTTGCAGCATGTCTCCTGTCCAAAGGCTCTTGATTTAGAGAACTTGTTTACTTGCTACTGGAGCACATATATAAAAAAGATCTGCCCAAGGCTAATGACTAGAAACAAGGCTCAAGTATCTAAACTCGCATCATTCTATGCCTTGCAAATTTTCTGTTGTGGGATAGCTGCCAAGGACGCATAATAAAACAGAACTCATGAATAAATAAAATGTATTCCACTAATATGTGGATATTTTCTTTTTATCTTCCCTTTGCCCCATCTCTTTGTTTTTATTTCTTGCTCCTCATCTATTTTTTTTTCTGTTTAGTCTCCTTCTCCTTTTAATTTATGGGGTCATCTTAGTTTCTTCCTGTGTTACTACTTTACTTTCTAAGGGGGAAAACACCCTGAGAAAACCAAGCAGGATGCTGTCATTGCCATTTTCTGATTCTGTGTGGAGGATCAAATCCTCAGCTGACAGAAACTGGCCTTGACCTGTTCCAGTCAATGATTCTACACCAGTTAATGCCAGGGAATCATCTGCTTCGAAGTGTTACCTTGGTATGCTGCTCCATTCTTTACCATTTATTCTTTTTTATTCCCCATTTCCTTCTGGCCCTTTTCATTTTCCTATATTTTACTGATGCTTCTTTCCTTTATACTGTATTTTACACTTTATTTGAATATGTTCTGCTCTATCTTGTCTCATTCATAATGTATCTGAAGTCCTAACAGCATTGTGTTAAACTGCTGTCATCTACCATTTGTGGATAACTTACTCATTTTTCTTAGGGGGGAGTTCTCTATGTGGCAGTTGCTTGTAATAGTTTTCTTTTGTTTTGTTTTTCTTTCTGTTCTAGAAGAGGTGACTTTTGGAATATTTATCTTGCTTGCAAAGGAAGATGGTGTTTCTGAGGGAGCTCATTCCACAGTCATTTTCTAGAGAAATGTGTCTTCTGGAAAGATGAGCTTTATCACTTATGTTAGAAGGTCCCATTGTGGTCACTGTTTTTGTTCTGGAGCTTAGTTTGCTCTGGATTTTGGGCCATTTTGCTGCATTACAGGTAAAGCCCGAGACCTTGATTTTCATGCTGTGTTCTGCAAGGAGCTAGAGTAAGTCTGGGGTAAACATGGTCTCTGTGGTTGATAATGTTGATATGAAGGTTCTTGGAAGGCTTCACTTGTTTTTGCCTCTCTAAATTGTTTCTCTCACTGCTGTCAGTCTGCTGGGTACTCCCGATGTCCTTGGTCTTAGCATGATTTTCTGTTCTCCATCCTTTTATCCACAAACTCTCCAGCTCATCTTGTCCTTCACACTAAAATGTCGTATCCATTTTGCCTTCCCATCCCTGACAGGTGAGTGGGGACTGAGGTGAGAGGTCTCGGTTTACTGTCTCTTATGGCTGCCGAGGAATTTCTGGGAGGGGATGCAAGGGGAGGCCATTACAGCTTAGCCCTTTGGACTCCCTTCTGTTCAGAGCAGCCATGTGCCCTGGCTGCAGACATCTGCCTGACTTCAGCTTGCTCAGTGTCTACTGCCATCTCCTCCAGGTAGGTTTATGTCTTAAAAGTTGATCTTGGGCAGGGGGAGCTGCAGGACTGTGATCCAGCAGAATCAATCACATGTGGTGGCAGACAGGCAGTGTGGCACCATCCTTACCTCTGCCAGCAGCAGCAAG